CAGAAAAGAAGTGTTAAAATTTTAAAAACATTCATAAGAACTAATACATAAAGAGTGAAACTTGCACTATAAATTAGATTAGATGCATCGTATAGCGATCCCGGGTTTACCCTTGTTGTACAGTGATCCGGACATGTGTCCGTGGATGTTGGTAGTTGTTTATTATCTTGTTTGCATCCTCTTTACTTTGTATATTGAGTTATAGGATGTGTTGGGCAGGTTTGTTACAGGTTGGTTGTGTTTGGGAGCCTAGTGCTGCTGCCCAGATTTTTGGACCTTCGCTCGAGCGAGGAGTTGGTCGCTCGAGCGAGAGTTGAGTTTGTGTCTGGTGGATCCAGCCAGAGTGGCTTCGCTCGAGCGAGCGCTTGCGTCTGGTTCTGGACCTGAGAGTTGCATTTCTTGGCTCGAGCGGTCTGGTTTGTTCTTCGCTCGAGCGAGAGGTCTGTCGCTCGAGCATGAGGAATGTCTTGGAATTGGATTAATAAATTTAAAATGATGTTGTTTTTTAAGTATACTTATTTTCAAAGAAGACTTATGGTTTTTCTGATGATGAAAGATAATATTTATGGTAAAAAAATTTCTTAAATGTTCAAATGAATTTTGAGAAAATAATACTCTACGTATAATATTTTGGGCATACAAAACGTCACATTATTATATAGTATCACCTTGCATGCATGATTGTTTCTATCTATGTGTTAGTTATTGTTTTAGAACTATGAGATTCTTACTGGGCATTAGTGTTCATCCCACGTTGATGAATTTCACAAGTAATTGAAGATTTCAAATATCAGGACATGGAATTTCCTTCTTGTGCAGTCTTATGATTTTATTTTGAGATTGTAAAATATACTTGTAGTTCAGAGATCAGTATTTTCTTGTATGTAAATGCATGTAAGCCTCAGGGCATTTATTTGCTTTGTATGTAAATGACACGGTTGTGTAACGAGAGAGAACGTGTATATTTATTTATTCATCAACTCATTAAAAGATGAATTGTCATTTGTAAATGGACTTAATTAATGAATATTGGTCATGTTATTTGAGTAATAAAATATGGGACGTGACAGTTTGGCCTCTTTTGAGTCACATCACCTCTCTATTTTTTTACACTTAAAAAAAAAATCAAAAAGCCAATTTTGTAGCCTATTTTGCCCTTTAATTTGTTTTAAAATTTTTTATTTTGCCTTTTAGTTTGGTTGGTGAATTAATTGGTGTTGAGGGTTTTGGAAATTATGTAAGAAATTTGGGTTAATTGTAATTAGCCTAATAGTCCAAAAGTTGAGATTTTTTTTGAGTTTTTTTTTTTTTTGGATAAATTACAAACATACCCCTAGAGATTTACTCCAAATACACATTGTTCCTTATGGTTTTGAAAATTACATCACGCTCCTTTAAATTTCAAATTTCATAATAAATAATCTCTTTTATTAATAAATCAAGTCGATTAACAATTTTTAGTGATGCCATAAATTTATTTTAATTAATAATTTAGGTAATTTTATAATTATATATGAGAGTAGTTAGATAATTAATTTTTTTAATTAATTCTGTTAAATAAAATAAAATATTCTAACAAGGGAATACTTGTAATTTTGCAAACTAGAACGGGCAATCCGTATTTTAAGCAAATCTCAATGGTGTATTTATAATTTACCCTCTTTTTTTTCTTTGTTTTTTTTAAAGTGACGCTAGAGTGATTATTTTTATGATTTTTATACTCTTAACTTTTGACTATTGTATCTTCAATTTTTGTAGAATTAAACAACAATTAGCTAAAAAAAATCTAAAATTACTTTTAAAAATTCAAACTCATAACTAAAGTCGTAATAAAGGTACATAATCATTCTAATTAACCAAATACAGCATAAAATTTCATAATATATATATATATATATTATAGGTAAAATAAAATGATAATATATAAATATATAAGATCTATTTTTTTCCTCTATATTTTTCTTCCATCAAGCAAATACTATTTTAAAATCAAAAAATTAAATTTTAACAAAAAAATTAGAAAATGTGCAACTCGCTCGAGCCTTGCACGGGCCTCCCTACCTAGTCTATGTATATAAGCATAGTTTTGGTATTGGTGCCTTGTATTTTATTTTTCATTTTGCCCTTAAGTTTATTTTTGAATTTTTTATTTTACCCTTTAATTTGGTTGGTGAATTCATTTGGATGGAGGACTTTTAGAAATTATATAAGAAATTTGGATTAATTATAACTAGCTTAATAGTCCAAAAGTTGAGATTTTTTTTTGAGTTTTTTTTTTTTTTTGATAAATTACAAACACACCCCTAAGGTTTGTTTTGAATACAAATATTGTTCTGAAAATTATATCACGCCCCTTCAAATTTCAAATTTCAAATTTCATAACAAATATCTCATTTTATTAATAAATCATCAAGTAACTTTTAATAATGTCAGAATTTATTTCAATTCATAATTTAGGTAATTTTGTTATTTTAGATGAGAGTAGTTAGAAATTTTATTTTTTCAATTAATCACTACAAAAAAAATCACTTTTGGCGACTAAATTTTTAGTCACCAAAAGTCCGTTTTTAGTCGCCGAAAGTCGAAATTTTACTTTCCCCGACAAATTTTTTTGGTCGCCACATTTGTCGCGTATTCGTGGTCACTGGAGGTATTGGCGACTAAAAATTTTTTAGTCGCCAAAATACAGGTCTTTAGTGACCAAAGTTTTAGTCGCCAATAGTGTTTTACACTTTTGAAAATCATACATTTACCGACTAATAATTTAGTCGCTAAAACTCACTTAATCGCCGACTAAACCGTTTAGTCGCCAAAATAAAGACTTTTGGCGACTAATCATTTTAGTCGCCAAAGGTGTTTTCGTCGAAAAAAAAAAAAACCCCACTTGTTTGCTTTTTTTGAGTTTTGAACCGCCAACCGTCCCACATTCCAAACCTTTAGCAACACACTCCCTCCACTATGCCACTACAACATCACATGAATGTATATGCAATATATATTATTTATATAGTATATTGACCGGTATTAATACAAAACAATATATATAAATATAATTATTTTTATTCAATATAATTTATGTAAAAAAAATTATTTACTAAAAAAAAATTTAGGCCACTTTTGGCGACTAAATTAAATTTTTAGTCGCCAATTCTATAATTTTCGGCTACTAATTATTTTTAGTTGCTAAAAAATTAAGTTCCGCCTAAAAATAAAGCAGTTTTGGCAACTAAACCTGTTTTTAGTCGCCAAAAAGGTCCCCTTTTGGCTACTAAACTGAATTTTAGTCGGCAATTGACTGTTTTTAGCTACTAATTTTTTTTTTGTTGCCAAAAAGCTTCACTTTCAACGGCCAAACTATTTTTTAGTCGCCAAAACCATCACTTTTGGCTACTAAATTATTTTAGTCGCCAAAAATCGTGACTTTTGGCTACTAAACAACCTTTAGTCGCTAAAACCCCTATATTCGGCGGCTAAACTGCCTTTTAGTCTCTAAAACCCTTATATTTGGCGACTAAACTCTTTTAGTCGGCAAAAGTGATCAATTTTGGCGACTAATTCTATTTTAGTCACCAATTCTACTACTTTCAGCGACGAAAAATGCAGTTTTAGTCACCAAATCTGCTTTTTGTTGTAGTGAATTTTGTTAAATAAAGGTATTTGTAATTTTGCAAACCATAAGGGACAAACCGTATTTTAAACAAATCTCGAGGGTGTATTTATTACCAATTCATGATGTGGTATTTTTATTTCAACAATTTTTTTTTATTTTAATTAAAATTAGATTTTAAAAATACAACTTCAAGTTTCAATATGTATTTTGAAAAAAGCACTCAAGTCAGAGATCTATTTTAAAAACTTTTGAGCCAATAAACCAAAATTTAAATTTTTTTGGACAAAAAAGACATTATTATTTCTTCAAAATGACATATTTGTTCAAAACTTATTTATGTATTCAAATGTCACTTATATGTCCAAATGTCACTTTTATTAATTCTAAACATGTCCACTTTGTGAGGAATACCATTTTTTTTTTGGGTAAATCAAAATGGATATGTAGATAGGCTACTCCAACATATCCACTAGGGAGTATTGTCCCTTAGCACCTACAACATATCTGCAAGGAATCCCACTACACCTTCGTCGAGGCCGAAGCTTTGGCCCCTACGTGCTCCAAACGTTAAAGAATATATTTAACCCCAATAAGGGGCTATGGAGACTCGAACCCAAACCTTGAGTAAGAGATTCAAATGCCTTATCCACTGAATGAACCCCTTGTTAGTGAATACCATTCAACTTATCCATTTTTAACAAATTTAGTGAAACAATCTAGGAGAAAAAATAAATTCATTTTTATTTTTAATTAGTAACTAATCTTTCGGTTCAAAAGTCACCATTTCCCTATGAAATCGAATCTACAGTAACTAATCTTTCGGTTCAAAAGTCACCATTTCCCTATGAAATCGAATCTACACTGTCACGACCCCATTCCGCCCCTAGTAGAATGGTGCCATGATGGCCAGTAATCGTTAGTGAATACCATTCAACTTATCCATTTTTAACAAATTTAGTGAAACAATCTAGGAGAAAAAATAAATTCATTTTTATTTTTAATTAGTAACTAATCTTTCGGTTCAAAAGTCACCATTTCCCTATGAAATCGAATCTACACGGTCACGACCCCATTCCGCCCCTAGTAGAATGGTGCCGTGATGGCCAGTAATCTGAGATTACCAAAGGCCAACTTGCAAAGATTCACACACAATCAGAGTATACATATGGGGCTTACATGTGCAGAAGCAATAAATTAAAAACTAAATAGTCCACAAGAGCTGTGCATAGATCAAATGAAATGACATACATCTTAATATAGTTTACAACTTGGATACAATAAAATGAGGTACAAAATACATCTTGATCAAAAGGCTTCTCAAGCCGTCATATACAAAAGAAATAACTACAAGCCAAGAAGCATAATCTTCAAGATGTTACAAAAATGTGGATCCAAAACAAGTTGCAAATAATCATCTAGGCGTCGCCGCCTTCCTGCTCATCACCTACATGTATATAAGAGAGGGTGGGCTTGGATACTCAGTGAATGATACCAGTAATAAAGGTTTTGCATGAATGATATTCAAGATCTATTTTCTAAACAATACATAGCATACTATACAAAACCAAGGGATGAACCAAGTCCATCAATCAAGTCTTTCAAATCTTCAAGGGATGCTTACTAGCATCAATATAATACAAGAGATGACATTAAACAAAGGTGATACAAAAGCTTAGAGTCCTCTAGCACGTAAGGACTTGTAATACAAAGGCTTAGAGTCCCCTAGCACGTACGGACTTGTGCTACAAAGGTTTAGAGTCCCCTATCACATACGGACTTGTGCTACAAAGGTTTAAAGTCCCCTAGCATGTACGGACCTTTTCAGTTTTGGTCGGAGCTCAAATCAATAAGCATGTATGGCTTACAAATGTTGCAAAAATGAGCTAGAAAAGAGGGAAAGTGGACTTACCCTTGAAGATCAATGCTTTTGTTGCTTCTTGGACTAACTTTGATGACTCTAAGCTGCTGGAATTCCTCCCCTTGCTGCTGGAATGGAGGGGTGGTGGTAGAGCTTGATGATGATGAAGAAATGAGGCCAAAACTTTGAAGTTTTTGAGAAAATGAGAGAGATAGAGGGAGAGTTGTATGTATAGCCTCAAAGCAATTTTGTTCCAACCCCTATAATGTATGTTGGCATCTGGTTATATGGAACAAAAAGAGGGTGTAAAGGTGGGGGAAAAAGGAGGCAAGCTTTCCCCCACAAAATATCCCCCGGATTGGGATATTTTCTGGGGGAAACAGCTGCACAGCTGTAAAGTACCAAGCATGAGGAACATGGCTGGCCCCCTTACTTTTGCTGCAGGTGGCCGGCCGGCCACCCCCCCTAGCCGGCCAGCTAGGGGTCAAAAAGGTCAACTCGAAATAGTGGTCGGCCACCACATATTGGTGGCCTCCCAGGTCTCCTCTTCACAACCCTGTTGTTCGAATTTGGAAATTCTAAAACAGGAGAGAGAACAAGCCAATTTTAGGAGGGGTTCAAAAGGGTCAAATGGAATTAGTGGCCGGCCATAAACTTTTAGGATCCTCCCAAGTGTGTACATCACAATATGTGGTTCAAAGTTCAAGAAAAAGGGCCCAAGTTGTTCAACATTGGCCCGGAAGGAGGGGTTCAAAAAGGTCAAGCAACATTAGTGGCCGGCCATGAACTTTTAGGGTCCTCCCATGTGTGTACATCACAAATATGTGGTTTGGGGGTGAAGAAAGTGGCTCCAAGGTGTTCAACATTGGCTCGGAAGTGCGAAAAACGGGTGTCGGAGGGCGAAAATGGAATATAACTAGTTGCCAAGATAATTGCTGGCCTCCCACCCTCCAGTGACCTTCCTGGTGATGAAACAGAGCCACCTTCCAAAAATGAACGAAAACCGATGCAAAACGAACCCTCGGGGGGCAAAACACGCAGTTCGGGGTCCCGAAAATGAGCTGCTAAGCACCGAAAGTGGCGTTCGGCCACGAAGTGGGTTTCTCAGACCCCAGTGTCCCTCAAAAGGGAGCAAATAAGAAGTGTGCCAAAATTCAGAGCAAACGGAGATGGTTAGGCGGTCCCGAACCGAGGCACACGGCCAATAGTCCCGAAAAACCGGAAACCGGGCTCCGAAATGGGCAAAATGGCCTATGACCACAAAACGTAGCCTACGGCCACTGAGAGATGGTCTACAGGACCTCTCCCTCCCCTCAGGAAAAGAAACAGAGAAAATCGAGTCTGGTTCGCAAACCGAGACAAGGCACAGGAGAGGGTTCGAAAGTCCGGAGGCAGGGCTCATGGCTGCGACTCTGAGACTTCTGAACGAGCGCGATATGCAACATCACCAAGCGCTCAACTGGTGACGTCTGAGTCTTAAGGTCAGTCAAAAATGGGGTGTCTACAGTAAGTAACAAGTAAGGTGACAGGGCACCACGGCGGGTAATGATCTTGGCTAGGACAAAGCTTCGGCAAGTAAGGTCTCAATGATCTCAGCTAGGAAGGACAACACTTGGCTTAGCTGTGCCACATTTTGGCCTAGATGTGCTACACCTCGGTCTAGGTCGTACCAGTCCAGGGACAAGATCACTTGAGTATAACAGCTCGGCCTAGATGATACACATCTCGTCCTTGGTGATGAACACCTCGGCCTAGATAATGACATCCCGGCTAACATGTCAGGGTAAGGGTGGAGGTCAACCAAGGTGGTTCCAAGATGGTCCTAGGTGTGAGGAGTTCAAAGGTGTAACCTAGGCTTAAGATGACCTCGGTTAAACTCACACCAAGCAAGGAACAAAACATGCAAGCAACACTTATGCGAAACAAATCAAGGTTTGTAAATGCAACTTAACAAGACAAGATCATGTAAATACATGCAAGCGTGACTAGAGTAAAGTGAAGGTTGCTACATACACAATATACAATACATCATTCAATTTTTATTTTTATTTTTAATAACAAGTCCAATTATTCCCTTTTCCGGTACAATTTGGGAATGTGTTATTTAGTGAAACAATCTAACCAATTGTCATTTAGTTTTTATCAATTCGAAATGCCATGTCCACTATGTGAGGAATATACCATTCAACTTGTCCTTTTTTTCTAATTTAGTGAAACAATCTAGGGGAAAAACTTCACATTTTCAGTTAGTAAACTAATCATGTAGTTCAAAAGTTAACATCTCCGTGTGAAATCAAATGTGCGCGATATAAAATACATCATTCAAATTTTTTTTTTTCATTCTTAATAATAAGTATAGCTATCCAGTTTTTAGTACAATAATTTGGTAAGGTGTTTTTTTATTACATATATATGGGTGGTAAGGTGTTATTTAGCGAAAATTATTATTCAATATTTTATTAGTTCTAAATAACATGTCCACTTTGTGAAGAATATCATTCAATTTCTCTAGTTTAGTGAAACACCCACAACACAAAAATTAAATTTTTAGAGACAAAAATTTAGGAATAAAAATACTTTTTAGAGACGAAATATTTTAATCACTAATAGTGTCGTCGCCGTATTTTTTTACTCTAGGTTTAATCTCTCCGGGACTGATTGGTTCCCCTTGATTTGAAACAGAAAATTTCTGACCAGTACGTTTGCCATTAATCACAAATTTTTCATCCTCTTCAGATAAGGCCTAGAAAACATTTGCATATAAAGAGAAAAAAAGTCAGCACAACAACATCTAAAACAGGTAAAACTACAATCATAGGCAAAAAAAAAAAAAAAAAAGTAACCATTCTAAATCTGATTGTTGGAAGGGAGAATATTATCATTTGCTCAATTTATACACTAAACATAACCAGCCGGCAGTGCATTATTAGCATAATGTATTAAGTAAAAATATTAATATACATCAGTCACAAGCCTAATTTTGCTGACATTGCACAAGTGCTCCATGAAAGAACATTGATAAAAGCAATGTTAAGTTGAAATGAGGGTTGAGTGGTGTGTATAATAATTATTAGTGAAGGGTATAATTGTAACTTTTAGTATATGGATTGAGAAAATTAATTAATAATCAAATTAATAAGTATGTGCAATGAGAAAATATGTGCACTAAGTTAATTAAGTGTGTGAAAATAGAATTTCCCAATTATGAAACATAAAATCTTTTATGTTTTAACAAATTACAAATACACTCATAAGGTTTGTTTAAAATATGAATCAGTCCTATAATACTAGAAATTACAACTATCGTTTGTAATAAATTTTAATTTAACACAATACTCCGAGAAAAAAAAATTTCTCCTATGCAATAATAAATTATCAAAATTATTTATTGAAAAATATTTCTCATATCATTAAAAATTGTTAATTGACTTAATGATTTTTTTATTAACAAAATGGTTAACTGAAAAATATTTTTCATACCATTAAAAATTGTTAATTTGCTTAATGATTACTTATTAATAAAATTGGTCATTTATTATGTGAGCATGATTTATGTATTAATAAAATTAGTCATTTGTATATATATGTATTTTCTTCTACTGCTTTATTAGTTTAGTGAATTATCTTAGTAATTTTTTTTAAGATTGGAGAGTTATCTTAGTATTTGTTTTATATTTATCTGTTGAGAAAAGTTATACACCATAATTTTTTTTTTTATAAATTCGGAAGAAATGTTAAAGATTCATAAATTCACCCAAAATGATATGGTAATAAAATTAGAGTCTACATCATTGGGTGTATAACAAAACGAAAAATAATACATATTATACCACATAATTCTATCATATATCTAATGATTTGTTCTATTCAATTTTATAGAACAATATTTTAATTTTTAAAAAATTATTAAAATACAAACTTAAATATACTATAATAATAGCATGTGCCTTGCATGGGCCTTTCAAAACTAGTATATATGTGTGTGTATATATATATATATATATATATCAATGCTATGGTTCAACTCAACCCACAGAACATCTCTTTGTTCAAATCTTGTGAAATCTTGCTTTAATTGCCATGGAAACTTAAGAACTCTGTTGAGCACCATTCTTCTGATTCACCAAGGTGACTCTAGTAAATTTTGAAAGCCTAAATTACCAATGTCATGATTTTTAGATAACAAATCCAATTTGCTATTAAAAAAATAATAAATAATAATAAAATAAAATAAAATAAAAACTATTTAGCATTCCTGTGTATATATATATATATATCAATGCTATGGTTCAACTCAACCCACAGAACATCTCTTTGTTCAAATCTTGTGAAATCTTGCTTTAATTGCCATGGAAACTTAAGAACTCTGTTGAGCACCATTCTTCTGATTCACCAAGGTGACTCTAGTAAATTTTGAAAGCCCAAATTACCAATGTCATGATTTTTAGATAACAAATCCAATTTGCTATTAAAAAAAATAATAAATAATAATAAAATAAAATAAAAACTATTTAGCATTCCCCCTTCATGAGCGGAAAAATTAAGAAAATAACAATACAAGAAAAAATTTCAACATATAAATAGATAAAAGACAAGATGTTATAATTTTCGATCTCGTCATCATTGTCTAAGTTTTTTGGACAACCAAATATGATATGATCATGAAAGAACATCTAATTCTTGAATTCTACTCATATCGAGAATCAAAGCCAAACATCACAACAAACAAATGATATAATAAGAATACTTTCATGTAGAAACACCTAAAATAAAAATGCTTTCATGCAGGAAAAATAGATAAACAAACTCTAAAGCACATTTGTAGCACAATAATTCCCATTGCACACTATATGACATAGGCACAAAAAAATAAAAAGCAGCTAAAAATATATTCAAAGAATGATTCTATGGATACTAACACTTTTGTGATTGGTTGTCAAAAAAAATGATTGATTGTTCAAAGAAACAATGATACTTGAATGTGTAAGCCTAGTATAAGAATTACACATTCGGAAAATAGAGCACTCTCAGGCCCATTAGTGATGGGCCTAAGTCCAACCGTGTCCGTTGCCAACCATGCCCATTGAATTACAGTGGTTCAACGTCGAGTAACCTCTTCATCAACTAGGTGACACGTCGAGTGAGTAGTGCCGACAAGATTAAAGAGAATGCATACCAAGCAGCAAAGAAAATTCGGCAGACTATCCCAATCAACGTGGGCCCAAGCTGTCCCTTTTCGGAGGAGTAATAGGGATGTCAGCTTTGATATTATGATGATTATGATGGAAAGATCAGATCACGTAAGAAATATCTACACAAAACCTCTATATAAAAAAGATAACTAAAAGAAGAAAGGCATGCATTGCCACCCAAAAACTCTTACATTTTCTTGATTCATCAAGCCTATTCTCACTCTCAACCAATCTCTAACTTGACCATTCCGGCACTCTTGACCAAAGTGTTTCTTGTTTTAGAAACTGAAGCGAGGATCCATTAAAGGTCTATTTGGGATGAAAGAGTATTGCAAAATCACCGCTCACATTAAACATCGAATGATATTTAGACACATGCTTTGAGTAAGCCTTTTAGTAAGAGTTGAAGAAGAAAGACCATTGCTAGAAGATCAAATTATATTATACACACACACACACACACACATATATATATATATCATATTATAATATGAAGAAGGGAATTGGGAAATTATTAACAAAGACAAATTAAAAATTAAAAAAAAATAAGGGGAAAAAAATCAAAATTCCCTTTTTTACATAACAAAGATGAAACGAACAAAATAATGTATAATATCTCAAAGGGAGAAATCTTAATTTTGTTGGGTGAACTCTCATATAACTTTTTTATAGGATCAATTCCGTTGAATCAGTTTTGAAGAAGTTCCATACAAACTTTGAAAAACTATTGCTAGAAGATCAACTTCTTTGGTTCGGTTTTTAAGATAAGTATGCAAATTCCATTCAAAAATATTGAGAAAAGTTTGAAGAAAAAAGAAAAACAAAAGTTCACAAATTGAAGAAAAAAATTGTTAAATATTACTCTATATCATAGAACTCCACAAAAATATTATTCAGACTAGGGAGTGAGGGGTAATCTTCCCGAAACATTGCAAAATAGCACAAAACGAAAAATGGGAGGAAAAAATAAATTTGAAAGCTAGAAGCGGGGCAAGAAAATCTTAAATTTATGTTTGTTTCGCGGCTTGAGTAGCCGGATTGGACTATCATGGATGCGGGTTCCACCCATAGCATGTTTGGTAGTGAAATGAGATGGCAGATTAATAGTCTTAGTAATCCCCTCATTAGGGGGATTAGCTTGGCTAAGTGGAGGGTGAGATTAAGAAAATAGTAAGCCGATTGAGGCTATGCGGTCATTCGCTCGGATGTTCAAAACAGTGCATTTTTTTTTTATACCAAACAACTGGCTAGCCAAAAAAAGAGTTGGTCAGCCCATTTTTTGTTTTTACCAAGTGCACTTGTTTGTTTTAATATTTGTTTTAATTTTAATTTTTTTAATATAGAAATAATTTATTTATTTATTTTATATAAAAATAATTTAACAATCCCATCAATATCCATCTCCTAGACTATCATCAAAACAAACACTCTTTTACTTAATCTCCTCACTAATAATTCTCACATTAACAATCTCTTTACTAACAATTTCATTCAACCTAATCCGCCAAACACACACTCGTGGCCTAACAAAAGGAAGGGGGAAGAAACTGAATTGCAACAGAATATGAAAAGAGAAAATCTTGCAAAATCGTATAAAAAAATTTAAATAAAAAAAAGGAAATCAAGAAGTAGAACAAACAAAGAGAGAAAGAGAGAGGTCAAATTAAACCATAATCACAAAGAAAGTAAACCCTAACAATAGGAAAAGAAACAACAAATAACAAATAAATAATAAACATAAAGAGGATGAAGAAACCCTAATTTTATTTGGCATGATCCCAAGAAAATTTTGCACAAATTAGTTTTGCAGAAATTTGGGAATTTGATAAAAAAAAATCAACTTTTTGACTTTTTAGCTTTTTTACACAAAAAAAAGCCACAAGAAGTCAGATTTTTTACACAAAAAAGCCATCAAAAAGTCAAAAAAGTCAAAAAAGTTAAAAAATCAGCTTTTTATCAACTTTCCAAAACACTACTTTGTACCTCAAAACGCAAAATGCAAGCTGGTAAAGACTCTTTCTGGAAGATCAAATGCCTTTTCGCTTCAAGCTCCATCCGATCTGCTAAAAACACAGAACAAAGCAAACAAATGGAGATGATAAGCAACAAAAGAAAAGAGAAACCTAGAAGAAAAATGAATAGAAAGAAAGAAAAGTTTTAAACAATTCCCCTCACCTTCTCCTTCTTCTATATTTTTCTAGATCTAGAAATCTCCAGATCTGGTTCGTGATTAGGTTGCATAACGGCGAGAGGCGATGGGGAAGTAGATGGCAATAGTGGCATGGCTGGTGAGCCGACTATAAGCATAAAAATACCAAAAAAAAAATGTATTGAATTAGGATTTTTTTTTTTTGTATTTTTGGTATTTGGTAAATTTTTAAAGTTTTTTTTCATAAATATTATATTTTTTAAGTGTATTATTAAAAAAATTACTTAAAATATTTTTTAAAAAAATCAGTAAAATTTTAAAAATATATATAGGAAATATAAAAAATTAATTAATTTTTTGAAAATAAATCTTGAAAAGTGAAACCAAACAAGCTAATTGTTGTTCAAATCTAAAAATTAGACTTATTTTTAAAGTTTAATGATGTGACAACCAATTAGGATATGCAAGGTAATATTTTTTTCTGTGTCTTTTCTAATCATTAACCAATCACATTACTTATATATTATAGAATTTTAAAAATAAATCTAAAAAATAGATTTTTATACGATTTATTAAATATATATATATATATATCAGTGTTGTGTTCATCATCATTATCAGTTGTCAGGCATTCAATATTGAATTTTTTTTATGGGTAAAAGAAAGAAATTTTTATTTATAAATATCAAAATATTATATCAATAAAAGAGCGATTTGTGCAAAGAATATAACAACGTAACAAAATGATTCTAATTAGATTATTAGCACCGAGATACACATCTAATTACTTACTAGCACATCATTAAGAATGAGTTAGAGACCAACTAAAGAGAAAAAGAACACGATACAACCAATACAGCACCACATCAAACAATAACACAATAAAATGATAATAATGTTTGGGAGCTCTAATATAGGTTTAATGGTGAGTTCCATATAATGATGTGATGTTTTGACTTCTTTTTTTTTTTTTTGGATATCTCACTAGAACTAGTGTTAAAACTCTCTACTACTGCCCATAAAATGACCACCAAAATGAGTAGCATAACAGCCTTCCACTGAACTAACAAAACTCCCACTGGATACAATTTAGTAAATCAACTAAGGAGTCATCTATCCCCTGAACTAAATCTGATTTGCTCCAAATTATGGGTAAATTACACTTTGCCCCATAAAGTTCCTCCCATTTTTCACTTTGGCCCTTTAAATTTGATTTTTCCCACTTTGACCCTTTCTGTTTACAATCCTTCCCACTTTGGTTCTTTATGTTTACAATTCTTTCCACTTTGGTTCTTTAATTTGATTTTTCTTACTTTGGCTCTTTATGGTTGTAATCCTCCCCACTTTGACCCTTAATATTTGCAATCATTTCCACTTTACTCCTAGACTAACTTCCATCCAAAAAAGTAATAGAATTTGTCACATCAACTCTATATGTGTTGTAAAAAATTCACTAAAGATGCAAAAAATAAAAAATAAAAAACAGAAAAAACGAAATTTTTTTTGTCTTTAGTGAAGTTTTTTTTTTTTTTTAAATTTATTCATAAACATTATTACATTATAGATGCATCTAGATTAGATGCTGCTACTAAAATAAAATAAAAAAATTAACTAAAAAAAGAAAAAGGTTCACTAAAGATGAAAAAAGCAATAGTAAATTTGTCGTTTCAGAATTGAGAATACAGGTGTTTGATTCAGTAAATTTTCATATTTTTTCATCTTTTGTAAACTTTTTTCTTTTTTTAGTTAAATTTGTTTTTATTTTTTTAGCTGCATCTAATCTAGATGCATATATAATGTAACAATGTTTATGAATAAATTTTAAAAAAAAAGTTAACTGAAGACTAAAAAAAACAATTCTATATTTTTTTCCTATTTTTTATTTTTTGCATCTTAAGTAAATTTTTTACATCACACATGGAGCTGATGTGTTAGTGATGTGGCAGATTCTGTTAGTTTTTTGAATGAAAGTTAGTCTAAGAATAAAGTAGAAAAAATTACAAATATGAAGGGCCAAAGTGGGATGGATTGCAAACCTGAAGAGTCAAAGTGAGAAAATTTAAACTTAAAGGGCTAAAGTGGGAAAGATTGCAAACGTGAAGGGTCAAAATGAGAAAAATTAAACTTAAAAAGCCAAAGTAAGAAATTGGTGAAACTTTAGGGGGGCAAAGTGTAAATTACCCCCAAATTATACATGAGGTCATGAACAGAGTATTGCGGGATATTTTAAAAAATAAGTTAAAAATTAATATTTTATTATTTTTAAAAAAATATAAAAATAATATGTGAGAGGGTGATTTATGCTCCGGTGCTGGGCCGAGGTGTGGACCGAACAAGTTGAGGACCCAGCAAAGCATTGGGCCGAAATGATCGACTGTTCACCCGGAGTTGGGCTACCAGAACTTGGGCCGGGCAGAGTTTGGACTGTGTGCTGCCCCGGACCGTGCAGAAGGTGCTCGAAAAATTCTGAAAAAATTCACCAATTCCGGCCATTAAAGCCTCAGTTAAAGACTTAGTAGTGAGAGTTGATAACTCGTCATTCCATTGGCGAATTTCCACATGAAGTTGGTGAATTTCTCTAATTAAATGGTGTCTTTTTTCTTCCACCAAATAATATTGTAAGGGATGAAAATTTATTTCATCAAGAAAATGGATCTCTTCTTGAAGATCCAAAATTTCTTGTTTACGCCAATAAATTTCATCTAGGCTATTTGAAATGGACAAATTCAATTCATTTTTCATTTATTACACTTGACGTCCCACTGGGCATGCCAAAAATTATTGGCTTATTTTTCCTACGAAGGAAAATATCATAAATGTGAGCGTGCCAGCAAGGATTGAAAAATCCTTATAGATTAATTTCAAGCCAATTATCAAGTGATTGCGTTGATGGTTCTTTTGCCTTAATAAAGAGGACTTCAAAATTGCCAAGTGTAGAGAAAAGAAAAATTAAAAGAAGAAATAGGGAGACGAAGAAAGATAATTGAGTGAACAATCAATAGTAAAAATTACTTACTTCTACTCCTATGCTTCAAAAAGGAAGTGCACAAAATACTTTGAAAATGAAATGCTGAAAATAAATGTTTCGATAAATTTATGTTAAACTACTCCTAAGATAAGGAAAATGACAAGAAATATTGAAATCAATTGTCTTTGATTATGAATTCTGGATCCTTTATAGTGTAGCCATGAATGGCTATTTGTAGACAAATATTTGTAGGAAAAAACTTCCAGCAATAATTACCCAATAATCACCTAAAACTACTCACTCTTCCATCTTCATTTCCATAATGCCACACAACCCTCCATGCCTTCATAACTTCTTATAACCTCCAAATGAGTAGGAGGATGCCACATGTCCTGTAATTATATAAATAATAAATAATAATAATAATAATTGCAGATTTATGGTGCTAACATTACCCCCCGCGGCCCTTAAAAATGATGTTTATTTGAATTTTTGAAGGGTCGAACTAAGCACATGACTAATCTAAGCAATAAAGTGCTTCGAATAATATCAACAAAGTGCTTCGAATAATATAATAGCACCAATAAACTGTTTTGAATGAGCATGAAATTATGACTAGATGTTGCGAATTATATATATATATGCATTGAAAGGATATTATTGCAGAAAAGTTTCGAAGGATAACCACATATTTTCAAGACAAAGCCAATGATTCACCTTAGCAAACTGTTATACATGCTAAATAACCAACTTCGAAGGTGGTATAGAGGACTAAAATTATCATTCGAAGGTCGAAAATGTCAACAAATGACGAATTACATCCTTGGAAATACTTGGCAAAGCTTCGAAGGTTCACAACTATCACTATTTTTCTTCGAAACTGTTGTTGATGCAAGATGGAGTGCTTCGAAACTTACAAAATTATGGCAAAAGGGCTTCCGAAGCAACTTTTAGCCAACATTGTGGTTATTCAAATTTTGTATGTTTTGGTTCACACATAATTAATGAAAATATTAATTTTATGCTTTAAACCAATTATTAATTCTCCAAAGACACCAAAACTGTTATTCTTCAAACCAACTTTTATAGAATACTAGTTACATTTTCATGTAACAAATGGCAATAAAAATGGTTATCAGTAAAGCCACTAATTATCATGCCAAAAATAGGCATTATTCGATAATTAATTAATTGCCATTTTACATATATTTGAAGGGAGGTACACATTTCGAAAGCTTTCTTGTCCCATGTTACATTTCGAAGGTGTTTATTGATGACAAAACCACCATTCGAAAGTCACATATGTTACTAAAGGATTAAAGTCGTCCTTCGAAAGTGCTCACGACATCTCTTCGAACTAAATCCAAAAGGTTGGATTATTATGAAATTAGTTTGGCATTTTAACTAGCCATTAATGGCTATAAAAATGATATTTCAATGAATAATCTACTTCAAAGTGTCTTGAGACATGCTTCGAAGGTAACCACAAAACCAAATGGTGATGGCTTTATGGATCAACTAATAACAACATTTTTGGCTCAATATATTGCAATAACGAAATATTATTTGTTAGCCATTCCATCAAAGTCAACGTTTGATGTGATCCACAAATCCAAAATGGATTTCGAATAACAAAAGTCATGGTATAGTGTAACCATGAAAATTCATATTTTTTGACATTTTGAAAAATGTTAAAAAATTTGAATTCATGAACAGTGGCTTGTTCATTATTTTTAACCATGTTTGTTTTAAAAACATGACTTTTGCTGAATAGATTTTCATAATTATTTGACAAAGTAGGTTGTTTTTCCATGTTAGTCATTAATGGCTTATGAAAATCACCCATAGATATGTTATTTTTATGACTTGACTCTCTAAAAATTGGTTTTGAGACCCCCCGAGGCATGCATTAAACATCATTCTTAGCCAAATTTGGCTCAAGAACATACTCTTTCGTTATGTTAATTTCATAATTTGGCTCTTTAAAAACGGACTCTTGAACCCCCCGAGCCATTGATGAAATTAACTCTTTACTTTTGTTGTTTTTAACCATGAAAAAATTCGAAAAAAATTCACCAATTCCGGCCATTAAGACCTCAGTTAAAGACTTGGTAGTGAGAATTGATAACTCATCATTCCATTGGCAAATTTTCATATCAAGTTGATGAATTTCTTCAATTAAATT